ATTTCAAACTACACTTCAAAGTCACAGTAATCAAACCAATATGGTATTGGCATAAAAATGGACACATTAAATCAATGAAACAGAACAGAGCCCAGAAATAAACCCATGCATACATATTTATTTACAACAAAGGAGCCAAGAATATACAATGGGAAAGGACAGTCTCTTCAATAAATGGTGCTGGGAAAACTGAAGAGCCACATGCAGAAGAATGAAACTGAAGCCCAGCCTTACACTGCACAAAAAATCAACTGAAAATGGACTACAGACTTGAACATAAGATCTGAAACCATAAAACTCCTAGAAGAAAACATAAGAGGGTAAGCTCCTTGACATCAAACCCAGCAATGATTTTTTGGATTTGGCATAAACAGCAAAGGCGACAAAAGCAAAAATAAACAAGTATGACTAAATCAAACTAAAAGCTTCTCTATACCAAAGGAAACCATTAAAAAATGAAAAGGAGGGGCCTCCCCGGTGGCGCAGTGGTTGAGAGTCCACCTGCCAATGCAGGGGACACAGGTTCGTGTCCCGGCCCGGGAAGATCCCATATGCCGTGGAGCGGCTGGGCCCGTGAGCCACGGCCGCTGAGCCTGCGCGTCCAGAGCCTGTGCTCCACAATGGAAGAGGCCACAACAGGGAGAGGCCACAACAGTGAGAGGCCCATGTACTGCAAAAAAGAAAAAAGAAAAATTAAAAGGAAACCTATGGAATTGGAGAAAATATCTTCAAATATTATATCTGATCAAGGGTTAATATCCAAAATATATAAAGAACTCAAATAACTCAATATCAAAAGAAAACAACACAAAACAAAACAAAACCCACCTATCAATTAGATTAAAAAATAGGCAGAGAAGGGCTTCCCTGGTGGTGCAGTGGTTAAGAATCTGCCTGCCAATGCAGTGGGCACGGGTTCGAGCCCTGGTCTGGGAAAATCCCACATGCTGCAGAGCAACTAAGTCCGTGTGCCGCAACTACTGAGCCCGTGTGCCACAACTACTGAAGCCTGCACACCTAGAGCCCGTGGTCTGCAAGAAGAGAAGCCACCACAATGAGACGCCCGCACACTGCAACAGAGTAGCCCCCACTTGCCGCAACCAGAGAAAAGCCCACGCGCAGCAACGAAAACCCAATGCAGCCAAAAATAAAATAAATCAAATTTATTTTTTTAAAAGTGGGCAGAGGAACTTAATAAACATTTTTCCAAAAAAGACATACAAATGGCCAACAGGCACATGAAAAAGTTTTCCATCAATAATCATCAGGGAAATGCAAATCAAACCCACAATGAGGTATCACATCACACCCGTTAGAATGGCTACTGTCAAAAGGATAATAACATATGTTGACAAGGATGTGGAGAAATGGGAACCCTGGTGCACTGTTAATGGGAATGTAAATTGGTGCAGGCACTATGGAACAACAGCATGGAGGTTCTTCAAAAAATTAAAAACGGAACTACCATGTGATCCAGCAATTCCACTTCTGGGTATACAGTCAAAGGATATGAAATCACTATCTTGAATGAAATCTGCACCCTCATGTTATTGCATCATTATTTACAATAGCCAAGATGTGGAAACAACCTATGTGTCCATCGACAGATGGATAAAGAAAATGTGATACACACACACACACACACACACACACACACAATTCAATCTTAAAAGGAAGGAAATCCTATCATTTGCAACAACATGGACGGACCTTGAGGGCATTATGCTAAGATAAGTCAAGCAGAGAAAAATAAATATTGTATGATTTCACTTATATGTGGAATCTGGAAAAACCAGAGCTGGTGATTACTAGAGACAAAGGGTAGAAGGTGGGGAGATGGGTGAAAGTGGTCAAAGGGTATTAACTTCTAGTTATAAAATAAGTAAGTTCAGGCAATGTAATGTACAGCATGGTGACTACAGTTAACAATACTTTATATCTGAACATTTTTAAGAGAACAGATCTTACAAATTCTCATCACAAGAAAAAAAAAACTCATTAACTATGTGAGATGCACCAAAACTTGTTGCAAGTATTAAGCAGAAAGGGTGTGCGAAGCTCCTGACATACAGCAGGTACTCAATAAATGTTGTCAATTATAATCTTCCTCCTTTCCCCTCCCATATCTTTGCTCATCCTGATTTTTTTGCCTTGGTATGTACTCCTTACCTCCCGTATCACTGAAATCTTACTCATTCTTTAAGTATCAGATGAAATATTACATTTCATATGAAGTCTTTCATATCTTTTATCAACCTGAGAAGAGCACTTTTTATTTTAACTTTACTTTCTACTTCTCATATTTTATTCTGGTAAATGTTTCCCTTACCAGACTATAAGCTTTTTGAGGGAAGGGACAACATTTGGTTAATCTACTTCTTAAAATTTAACCAGTGCTCTATCTTTAAAAGATTCGATAAATGTATTTACTAAGAACAGAAATAAGAAAAGCAGGTGTGCCCATCAGAGTCCTGGGAGTTAACCTGGAGCTATGCATGTGTAGGTAATGGAAGTAACTGATTAGCAAGCAAGAATCTAAGAGAGAATGTAAAAAGAAAAGAACTTCTGACATGTTTTTTTCCATCTCCCAAGTGAGTTAGGGATCCATGAAACCTCTCTATCAAACCCCAGAATCTGAGTTGGCTCCCTTAAGATTTCTTTCCAGTTAGGACCTGAGTAGATCATTCCTTGAAATTCCTTTCTCCTTTATCTGTCTCTAGAGTGAAGACAAATTTAGGTTACATGATTCAGAATTTCACAGCTGGAATTACACACTAGAAATCATCCGAACTCGGGCTTCCCTGGTGGAGCAGTGGTTAAGAATCCGCCTGCCAATGCAGGGGACACGGGTTCGAGCCCTGGTCCAGGAAGATCCCACATGCCGTGGAGCAACTAAGCCCGTGCGCCACAACTACTGAGCCTGTGCTCTAGAGACTGCGAGCCACAACTACTGAGCCTGCGTGCCACAACTACTGAAGCCCATGCTCCGCAACGAAGAGTAGCCCCCACTCGCCGCAACTAGAGAAAGCCCGCATGCAGTGACGAAGACCCAACACAGCCAAAAATTAAGATAAAATAAATAAATTTATTAAAAAAAAACAAATCATCCCAACTCAATCATTTGATAGATGTGGAAATGTAATCCAGAGAAGTCAAATCACACAAAGTTATGCAGTTAATAAACAACAGAGCTGGGAATTCCCTGGCGGTCCAGTGGTTAGGACTCTGTGCTCTCACTGCTGAGGGCCTGGGTTCAATCCCTGGTTGGCGAACTAAGATCCCGCAAGCCGTATGGGACGGCCAAAAACAAACAAAAAACAATACAGCTGACCTAGTTACAAGCTCAATACTCTTTTTCACTACACTTAAATAACAGTTAGGATTCTAGCACATGTCAAAAGGAGTGTGTAATAAGATTATGTCACATACATGTTTTATATTTTTGCCAAACACATCCCCATATCACTACAATATTGATTCAAATTCAGTTCACCATGATATTCATTTTATGCTGGCTATCTCCATAATCAATAATTCTATTTTATATTTGCATAAAGTTCACCCTGAATTATCTTTTCTTCAGCCATATCTTGTTTATTTCCTTGGCTTCACTAGAATTTTTCATAGATTATGATTTTTAATCTAGCTTCCCAAGAACTTGACCCATCTGACCCACTTCTCACATCTATATTAATGAGGAAGTAACATTAATTCTAAAATGATCCTGTAGAAAATCAGTATGCCTCTGTATAAATATAAGAACTAAGTCAAATTTCCAAAGGTTGAAAACTGAATAATATAGACTCTACCAAAACATTAGTTATGATTTTCTATGGGCTCACAAAAAGAGAGACAATAAAGTTACAAATTGTATTTAAGTTAAAATCTTACCATTAAATTAAAAACCTAGTTGCAAAAATATTTATTAAAACATCTGTTACCATCTAATGAAAGGGAAATTAAAAGCAAAGATACTTAAAGACACAAAGATGGTTCTACAGATCTACAAAAGAATACCTAAAATTACTTTTGGTCACATTTAAATAGATAAGTCACTATTAACACACAGGAGACATTTTCACAAACCACATAACATTTTTTTGACTGTTAATTACTTCTACATCAGAAGATAATGACAAACCATGTAAAGCATAAGTAACTGAAACAAAAACAGTAAGACGAGGAGCATTATCCAAACACATTAATCTTACTGATAGGATTTTTAAAACATAAAGTATACTAAGTTGTTTGAAACATAGGCTTGGTCCATTAAAAAGAAAATGTAACCAATTCATACTACTTATATACAGTTTTATGATAACATAGAACATACCAGCTCATGCATCAAATCAAGATTATTAAAGAAATTTAGCTAAGATTCCTTAAAAAATGGTATGGTACAGGGCAGGGGGTGAGTTGATTGGAAGCAAAATAAAATCACCCTCAATTTAAAATTTTTCTTCTATTCTGATATATACTACAGCTCATTTACCTAATTTTTAAGAGACAGAGAGAGTGTGGTCCTCTGGCAGTTTAGGTGAAATCCAGGATCTAAAGGGGACAAAGAGGGTATACAAAAGGGCAGCATACAGGGAACCAAGGAAGAACGAGGTATGGACCTGGACTCAGCAGCAGCTGTGTCTCATCCTTTTGGTAAGCCCCCTTGATGCCTTGTGCCTTCTACCTCCTGACTGTTTTCTCTGAAAACAAGTGAGACTGCTTAAGTCCTCTTGACTTTACACTGATTTTCCTGCTCTTAAAGAGATGAATTGAATAAGCAGTATTTTAAAGCCTGGATATAGGCTCCAGCTGTTAGACTCTGAAATTTCAGACTTTAGGCTTTTAGTCTATTAGGACTCTCTCCCAATGCTCAGAATTAAGATATAAACAACTGATTGATCCATATGTGTTAACTCACTGTTGCATGTATAATTTATAGAAAAGCAGTAGAAACAATATTAACTTAGAAAAACTACTGACATAAATAGCATGCACAGTACCTTTTGATAAACAATGGAGCACACAAGATCCTTGACAGCAGATAAAGATAGTTCCTGGGCTTCGATGGTAATACTCTCCCGTGTAAGGCCAATTTGCAGTAGAAATGAGATTGTATGCACTGAGCCTCTGGAGTTGGTGAGTGACGGTGCACTGAAGCTTCCATTAGAGAGTCGCGCAGAGAGTCCTGTTTTAGGACTTGAACACGGAGAAGGAGCTGGAAGCACAGCAGGAAGAGTTGCAGGTATTACAGACTTCTGGGATGATGGAGGAGAATTGTTTGCAGACATCTGCCTTTCTTTAATCTTTTAAAACAGTTGTCAATTCTTTTTCAATGGTTATGAAGAGGCCTTAAAATCACAGTGGTAAAAAAATGACTGTACTTTCAGATTTAGTTGAAAGCTTCTTTATTTCCTCTTTTAAGCCACTCATGCTGATGATGGCAAGTTCTACAACTGTGAGTTGAATATACAAAAGGTCCCACTTCCCTTAATATCAGTCCCATCAAAGAGTCTTGTCTTTAGGACCACAACCAGGGTTTTGGAAAGGATTTAACATCGCTGAATTATCCTCATCAGAAGAGCGTTGACATTGTTTATTTACTAAACATCTTCATCTATTTTCTTTTAAGTCTATTCTTGTCTCTCTCTTTTAATTTCAGAAAATACATAATGAATAAAAGTTGTTTTTCTGTCAAAATAAAATCCTCCTAGTTTAAAAAATAAGAAGTGTTTAGGATTAGTCTATTCAGTACTTATCCTTTGGTTCCTTGGTCTAATGGGACACTTTCTCAAATGTCCACACCTTAAATCACCTTCTCAAATGTCCTCATTTTCATTTTGGAGGAGCAAATTTTTCCAGGATTAAGCACAAAGGCTTTTTAAAATAGTACAGGCATATTCCACTTGGTGAATGGGCCCATGGAGAAAAGTTGATGCTTTCTGAAATGTAGGTAGCCTGGAAGAAATTTTTTAGAAACTTTTAATATTTTATACTCACTTAACATTATTTTAAAAATGCAAGAACCCTTGGGACTTCCCTGGTGGCCCAGTGGTTAAGAATCTGCCTGCCAATGCCGGGGACATGGGTTTGAGCCCTGGTCCAGGAAGATCCCACATGCCACGGAGCAACTAAGCCCGTGTGCCACAACTACTGAGCCTGCACTCTAGAGCCCACGAGCCACAACTACTGAGCCCACGTGTCACAACTACTGAAGCCCGTGCGCCTCAACTACTGAAGCCTGCGCACCTAGAGCCCAAGCTCCACAAAAAGAGAAGCCACTGCAATGAGAAGCCCGCACAACTGCAATGAAGAGCAGCCCCTACTCACCGCAACTAGAGAAAGCTCGGGTGCAGCAATGAAGACCCAATACAGCCAAAATAAATAAAATGTATTAGTTAATTTAAAAAAAAAGAATCCTTGTGCTTTTTTAAAATGATATGTTTTGGCTGTATGTTTATAATTCACCAATAAATCCTAATGGGTAGCCTTTTTTTTGGGGGGGGGTCTAGTTATCAGAGCCCATGATTTCAGGGAGAGCCTCCTGGTAAAAAAAAAAAAAAAAAAGAACAAAAAACAAAACCCTGCTATTCCTCACTAATACCTAAAACTTGAAGGTCAAACACTTTTATTCCACAAATACACAACTGAGTTATGACAAAAACAGAAGGGACAAAAAAGAAAAGTAAAACTGACATTGTCATAGAAATAAAGTACCACTTGGCCATACAAAAGATGTACAATACTGCCCTAACACAGACAAGAGTATTCTTTTTTATATTAAAAGTTTAAATCTAAGCAGATTTCTTTCAGAAAACTAAGGAAGCATATACTAAACACAGTTATATGACACACAAAGAAGTGTAAAAGACATACTTAAGCCAGGAACATAGGAAAAAGCGACCTTGTCATAAAAAATTTCTAAAAGTGAAAAAGAGAACACTAAGCACAGTTACATATGTATCACAGTTTTACATAAGGACAGTTCAAAAACTAAAAGTACGACCCCATGGCTAAGTGAAATGGCTCACAAGAGAAGGATCTTTCAATTTAAATTCCATCCATATACCTGTAAACAAGTCTAATGATAAAAAAGATTGAAGCATCCAATGTGGTTGCAGAATGACTCTGGAAAGTAGTTAATGGGGCTAAATAAATGAGGATGAACATAACAGAAGAGCAAAAACATACAGATATAGTATTAGGAATGAGCAAGTTCCAGAAAAAGTATGGCTTAGAAAAAAACTGCTTAAAGATAACAAAGCTTTCAGAACTACATTCAGATAAGTAATTTTAACCCATTTTATATTGTACAGCACTTAACATCTTGTAAATGTTTTATACGCTTTATCTCATGATATCTCTTTGGAATTTGACAAGGCAAATATTATTTATTATTTTTGCAGATGAGTTAACGGAAGCAAAAACAGATAAAGTAACTTGCCCAGCATCAAATGGCCATTAAGAGGTGGAGTGGGAATCAGGACCCAAGTTTCATACTTTCCTACCAAGTGCTGTCTCCACAATCACATACCATTTCTGAAAGAACAAGGAACTGAGAGAATCACCGCTCAGAGAGGATGTTAAGGTTGAGAGAGCACACTGAGAAGGTACAATTGCTCAACTTGTCTTTTGCTTACTTTCTCTGAGTTTTTAAACTAAAGTTGTAGAAGAGTATTGAGAACTGAAACCTGAGCCTCGTGAATACGAGGGACTAACACATCTTTATGGAAGTGCAAGTCTTCGGGTTCAGATACAATGCACTCCACATTGCTAAAGCAATTAGTCACTGCAATCACAAAGCTGACTCCTATCATCTTGGAGAAAGAGCTCAGAAAGAGAGAAACAGTCATGGCCTGGAGATGGGTCAGTTTGTGGGCTGGAGGAGAGGGGAAGTGATTTCAGAAACTGCAGACATATAAACTTAATATTAACCCTTAGTCAAATCTGAGATAGATTATGAAAGCAAATGGTTTTCCAATACTTACAATATAATGATCACTAGAAGTCAGCATGAATTCAAACAGAATGCCAAATCAGCTACATTTACACCTTTTAAAAAAGGGGTTATTGGCCTTTTTAGACGGAGGAAATAATAACTCACAGTAATTGAGCTCTATCTGCCAGACACCATTCTAAGCATTCCATATGTGTTTCCTCACTTAATCCTCACAACAACCCATTTTATAGTTGAGAAAACTGGCTTAAAGTACTTGCCAGAGATCACACAATTAGCAAAGCCAGAAAAAAAATTAGTGTATTCTGGCCAAAACAATTTTCAAGATGATATTCCATGCTATTTTTGTAAATACGTTGTTTGAGTATGAGTTAGATGTTAGTGTAGTTGGTTAAGTCTGCTGCTCTGTATCAACTTAGAGAAGCCTTTAGGGGAGTGCACTGGAACGCTGCCCTTGGCCCTATATTGTTTTTGATTATTTATAAGATAATAAAGACATGGAAGACATGCTTATAAAATCCTCAGATTGTACAATCTGGGAGAAATAAACTAAAATTCAAGTGAACTGTAACAATGATGAGAGTAAAGCTTTACATTTAGTTCAAAAAGTTAAATGTGCAATATAGAAATGGAGAAGAACCTGTTCATTAGAGGTGTTATCAACCAAGAGTTTAATAATGGCTGCTAGTATAATGGGTGACTAAAAGAACTAACGTAAACATAAACTCCCAGGACCCTGAGAACACATTAGCATCAATCAGCATACTGGTTGCTAGTCAGCATACGCTACCACTGTATTCATTTTTACAGTCCACACTTTTAAGAGCTATACTGATGTAAAAAAATAATAAAGAGTATATATCTGGATAAAGCTGAAAACAATGTCATGTGACAAATTATGCTTAACACAACCAAGCAGAATAATAGTCTTCAAATATTTGAAAAGATGTTAAGAGAATAATTGGTTTTTCTCCCCATTTTTATATGGATGATTTATTTATTTTTTGCTATTGATAACAATGTATTCATTTATGAAGTGTTAGCCCTACTCACACCACACACCCAAAGAGTTGTGTTACTGGGTAGACACAGTGCAAACATAAGATTAGGAAATTAACAGAGAATAATTGGTTTTATTCAGTATCATTGTAGAGGGTAGATAGAGGGTAGAGGTAAAATGAAGATAACAGCTATGAGGACTGCGCTACTGCATGTACAATATCTACAGTGGTACCTGGCTTATCCTAAGTGCTAAGTTTTAGCAATTTTCACAGTAATTAGGTGAAAGAATTAACAATTAAGCTCCTACTTCATACTAAACACTGAAATTGAGATATCATACTTCATTAAATCCTTGCTATGACACTAGGAAATTTGTTTAACTGCTTTACAGAAAAGGAACCAGACTTTCAGAATTGTTGCTTACCCACGACTACACAGCTAATAAGTGATGGAACTGGGATTCACACCAAAGTTTCCCTGACTCCAAAGCCCATGTTCTTTATACTACTTCACTTCACCACCACCAACCTAACAACAATCTACAACAGGTTTTCTCATGAGGTAATGAGGTCCTTAAAATACCTGACTTGAGCAGTTTCAAAAAGCTGAACAACTGTCATAAAAAGGTGAGTCAAATATCTATGAATAATACTGTATGCAGGTTAAATACTTCAAAATACAAGACACTGCTGTGTTCAAGAATAATTTATTTGTGATGGATATTTTCCCACTAAATTTCCATTTTATAATACCTGCTAATATTAGCCAAATAACAGTAACTGTCTTATGATTACAATCAACTATCAGAATGATCGATAACTATTAATAAACTATGTTACACTTTTGCATAAAAATATTTTTTACAGTTTCAGCATGAACACAAATAGAAGAAACTAAGTGAGCTGTCATATTAGCTTCTGCCCACTCATCCCATCTGTTTTCCCTCTCCTTGTTTTGCTTTGTGGAACCTTGATTTGATCTGTAAGATGCAACAAGATGTAGGGTGCAAAATATTAAGACTAAATATCAAAAAAAAAAAATCTAACAACTCTAATTTTGTCTTTATGCTTCAATCAGAAATCTGAGACAATAGTACATCATACTAATTCATAAATCAATTAGATATGTTTGTTGCTAATAGCTGTGAATTGGCAAGCATTTCTAATACGTTTATTTGCAACATCTCAAATATTCTTTGGGGGAATTATCTGTCACATATTTCATTCAAATGAAATTGTCACTATTGCTGAATGGAATCAAAAGATGGCATTTTAAAGGAATCTTGAGCCCAACCTGCCCTATTATTACAGACAAGGTAAAAATAAAGGCTCTGGAGGTTAGGTGACTTAACGGAGGGTTACTTCACGGTAACATCACAAGTTGATCTACCCTTTCTCTCCCTCTCCCTCAACTCCCCCTACATATACATTATCTCATTTCTTAGCAAAGCCTCTAATTATAAGAAGCTCTAACAGCAGCATTTTCATTCAACAAATATTTATTGAGTGCCTATTATCTGCTAGACTGTTATGAGAGACTCGGGTTGTACAGCAGTGACCAAAACAGACAGGACTATTGCTCTCTCCAGAGCTTATAGTGTGATATGGGACACACACATTAAACAAATATTCACATTAATAGCAAGGCAATTACAAATCATGAAAAGTGGTATGACAGAGTATACTGAGAGGAACTAATTTCAACTGAGGTTCACAGGCAAGGCACCTTTAAGGAAGCTAAAACCAAAGGATAAGTAAGAGTCAGGGAAGCAGAGAGAGAAGCAAAGAGGATTCCGGAAGACAAAACAAATCCAGCTAGTAAATACTTCAAAACGAAGCTCATCATTTAGTGTAGCCAGTGTCCCTTTTGTACTCATTAAATGCAAAAG